CAAGGTTGAAACTAAGTTTCCGCCTCGTGCCATAGCAGTACACACCAGCTCCAATGAATGCCCTTATTTATTTTGGGACCATCTGTATACCAGATCAGTCCCCCTTTTCTATCGGGCCAAAACCCGTCTTCTCATTCACTCCTGTGAGGAAATCTGACTGTGAAGGGTTTTTCATATACACGTCTCAGTATCATTTTATCAGACCCCATTTGTAATATGGGTTCTTTTTTTCATGTCCTGAGTTATGTATGCATGGCTGAAACCATTGGATCTAGGTTTCCATTGATCACTGCACTGGAGATGGTAGATTCCTGCCCTGGCCTCTGTATCCAACTGTAGATGCAGTGGGGGGAGTCCAAGGAGTATCTGCAGCGCAGCTGTTGGAGATATTCGAATTGGTCATGTGATACCCAAGCAAGCCAACCTCTGAAATTTGCTAAGTTCTGCCATGCATGTCTTGAGTTTAACTCTGGGTCACCATATTGTGGTGCCGTATGTAATTATGGGTCTTACCGCCGCAGTATATATCCAATGCACAATGTGTGGCTGCAGTCCCCAAGTTTTACCAAACATGCTTCTGCATGTCCAAAAAGCCTTATAGGCTTTATTAATGACCTTATCCAGCTTCTTTTTCCATGTCAGTCCCTTGTCTAATACTAGACCAAGGTACTTGACATTGTTGGAGAGCTGGATTGTCTTATTGAAGAGGGTCGGTTCCTTAAGGCCCTTTATATTTCTCTTCCTAGTAAACGGTATAATTACCGTCTTATTGGGATTGATGAAAAGACTTGTTCTTTCACACCATCGTTGGACCATGTACAGAGCCGTTTGAAGACGCTCTGATACTGTCAAAAGGAATTTTCCATTTATGAGGATTGCAATGTCATCAACATATCCTGCTGTATAATACCCATCATCATTAAGTCCCCACAGGAGATCATCAATGACCAGGCCCCACAGCAGAGGCGAGAGGATGCCCCCCCCCTGCAGACAACCCTTATACATGGACGCCCCCAGGGTTTCTCCTGATGATGTAGCTGCTATGGTTCTGCTTTCCAGCATAGCACTGATCCACCTGCATATTGCAGGCTCTGTGCCATGCTTTCCAGCTTCCTGTTTGATTATATCAAACGAGGTTCTGTCAGAAGCTCCCTCTATGTCAAGGAATGCTCCTAAGGCAATATCCTTGTGTTCAATCGCACTTTCTATGCATGTTACCACATTGTGTAGTGCACTTTCGGTAGATTTACCTGTTTGGTAGGCATGCTTGGTCCGGTGTAGAGGATATGTCCCTGATAGGACAATAAGCCTTAGCCTCGGTGTAATCAAGTTTCCTGGGCTTTGGGATAAATGGCACCTTAACTTGCCTCCAGACCATGGGGATAAAACCATATGCCATGCAGGCGTATGCGGCATAGGTGTGGAACTAAGAGTTCTGCCCAAGCTGCAAAAGTGCCGGTACATTTCCATCTGTTCCCGCTGACTTAAATGGTCTAAAGGATTCAGTGCCCATCTGATTTTTGATTGGTTAATTATGACTTTGGCCAGGTTCCAGTCTGCCCTGTTTGTCTTGCTTTGGCAAGTGCCCAGGTTTTGCTGATCTTGTCCATTGTCCAACTTATCAATCAATTTTGAATCAGGAAAGTGAACCCTGAATAATTCGTTCAGTGTCTCCCTTCCTGTTTGAGTATACTGCCCGTTAGGCAGCTTAATTGTGCTGACCTTGTTGGTCGCCTGTTTTGCCATGATTCTCATGAGTGGCACCGCCTGGTACATCGCTGATCTCCTGGCAGTGCCTCCTCCATGAGGATCACTTTCCTTATTTCTTTGTTGTAACAGGTAAGGGCTTCCTTGTAGGTGTCCCACTGCCCTGTTCTTTTAGCTGTATTAAACAGTCTTCTTATTTTGGTTCTAAGCCCACTCAGCTGTTTACTCCACCAAGGTGCTCTCCTTGGTCCACGAGTGGTCTTAGCCTGACAATTCCGATTAAAGGACAAGATAATAGCCCATTGCAACTGGTCAATGGACCGATCAACATCCTTTATTGTGCCCAGTTGGTTCTCTTAGGATTCCTATAAGTAGCTTGATCTACTTTAATGTTGCTTATTTGAAAGCATATATATCTGTGATCCGATAGGGACGGCTCATCAGATACATGCTAGTTACTTACCAGGTTTCCTATGTTATTTGTCCCTAGTGTCAAGTCAGTAACCTCCTTCCTATTGCAAACTACAAAGGTAGGTTCGTTGTCATGGTTTAGAATATTCAGGTTTGAGCTCACCAGAAATTCCATAAGGCTCTCTCCCCTTGGGTTAGTGCTGGTGCTCCTCCATCACACCCAATGATGAGTTGCTTTTTCCTGCTACAACAGTAGTCTGTTGATGTCCCTCATTTCCTTAGTTGATGGTTCATTCGAGTCATATGGAAGGTAGACTGAAGCAATAATCAGCTCCCTGCTGCCTCCTTAGTACATGTATGTTATCCTTACTGTTGTTGTATCCCTAGAACAGAGCTCCCTCAAAGGCAAGGCATTAACATGATTCCTGATATAAACACAGTGTCTTGCATTATTATTGGGTACAGCAGAGTAAACTGTTCCCCCTATGTTAGCTAAGCCCTTTATTTGACCCTTGTATAACCAAGGTTCCTGACTAAGTGCTATGTCTGCCTTACCCTCAGCTAGTTGTTGGCACAGAGCTGCCATGGCAGCTTTGCTGTGGTGTAGGTTAATTTGAAGAAATTTCAAGGTGTTTGTATGTACTGTGTGTGTATTGTGTTTATGTATGTATTAAGTGTGTGATTGTTTAGTGATCTCTTCCAATTGGGGAGGGGTCAATTTCCATCTTATGTCCCTCCCTGTCCTCGGATTGGGTTCTGTGTGAAGGGGCCCCCTGATCCTCTTTGCTTTGGTCATGCAGGGGTTTGGGTATCTCATCCCCTTCCCCCTCAGAGACCAAGTTAGAAGATACTGTATTAGTCACAGGTTCTGCCCGGTGCTGAACTTCAGGATCATTCAGCACCTTAATAGTCCCCGCTTAGAGTCTTGTGAATATTCTGTAACTGTTCCTCTGTACAATAGTGTGGGAGTCCCGATCTGTGAATAGGATAAACCTCTGGCCTTTCGACTCAGGTTGCTACAAGCAGGTTCCTGGCATCAGTAGCCTTCAGTGTGGTCCCTGATTCTAGCCTGTGGTTGTCAATGGCTTTGGTGAGCCATTGACCAGACTGTTGGGCAGTGCATACATAAATAAGTGCACCTCCCACTAGTCTATAGGATTTCAGGTGTGGTAGGTCTCCCTTTGGAGTCCTACGTAACACCTCCAGTGCTTCCAGAATGGAATTATGGTCATCTTCGGTAAGCTTATCCTCAGGATAAGTTTCCTTGAAGATAGCTACCTTTATATTGGTCAGAGCCTCCTTGTAAGTCCATGGGCCTTTTCGGAGTTCTGGCCATTACCTTTATGTTGGTCAGAGCCTCCTTGTAAGTCCCTGGGCTTTTTCAGAGTTCTGGCCATTTCTGTAGGGGTACTGCCCTCTGACCTTGGCCTCTTAAAGGTGCCGGTCTCTGCTTGGATGAGCGTGCATTTCCTGGTTGCTCACTGCCCCAGTTCCTGCTTTACTTGCCCCAACTCTTGCCTTTTTCCAACTTCCATCTGGCACATCCAGACAAGGCTTTTTTCACTAGACAGGGTCCACCTACTCCAGAGATTATGTGTCCCAGTCCTTCTCCTGCTGCAGGTATGTTAGAAGTACTAGCTCCCTGCAGTGGTGTGTCAGTACTACTGACTTCCAGGAGAGTAGTTTTTGGTTTTACCTCAGGCAGGTTTTGAACCACTGGTTCGTCCCTGCCTTTGGCTGAAATTTCAACAGCAGGTTCACTGGTTGCAACTGGGCCCCTTAATCGTTCACCAGAGCTTCCAGCCCTTTGCTGAAGCATTTCTCATAGGGATCCCCTTGGAAGGGGGTTCCTCTTCAGTTTAAGGTCTTTACGACCGGTTTTTGATTTGGTTTCTTTATTCATTTCGGTCCCACGAGTCCCACGGTCGCCCCATATGGGTGGAAGGCATAAATACAATGGGGTGCTGCCTGGTACCCCAAGGGGATTGTTCAAGACACTGGCTAATTACCACCCAAGTGCCATGCAGCCCTCAGCAGGATGCCTCACACCTTGGTGGCTTAGGTAGTTTGGTCCTGTAGTGAATGCAACCCTCACAAGCCTCCAGGACCAGTAGTGCCTGTTCGGGGGGAGAGGGGTATCCCAGATGATAAATGGGAGTGCGACACCAGTTAGTCATGAGGTTGTGATCAGGACAACCTATATGAGAATGCCGCCCCTGGGGGTTGCTTTGAACTCCCCCATTCTCACCCCTCCACATGGGTTGGTCAAACAATTTTAGAGTGTTGAGCCCTAAGGCTTGCAGCACCTTATCGGTACTCTAAGTAGACAACTCAAATAGCCGAAGCTACCCCCATAGGAGTGCTCTCCCACATTCGTTCCGGGTACACCATAGTGATACCCAGGAGTTATTATGCCGTCACGTGGGAGGCTCTGGTCATAATGCCATTGCACTTTACGGGAGCTTGGCTGCCAGCCCTGATAGGTCATACTGATCCAGAACCCGAGACTGTCGTTGCCCGGCTGGACCATGACGAGGTGTCCCAAAGCTGTGTCCCAATGTATCCCTGGTCCATGATGCGTCCCCACCAAAGACACAGCCATGGTTCGGCCAACCTCACTGAGGACGGTGTCATTACCACCTGTAACATGTGACATAAGAAGTTCATATTTACCCCGGGATCAAACCCGGGCCGCATACTAGTAATGATAGTGTTAAAGCAGTTCAGTTTTCAAGCATCTTATTGTGATGCACAGGTTTTTAGAGTCAGGGAGTATTGAATGACACACGTATTACTGGAATTTATTTTCACAATACTGAAATGATTAAAGTAATTTTATGTAAGCATGGATGTTCCAAATTAAAATAAATATTTATCCATAGGTACATGGTTGATGCAGCAGATCCAGAGAAGATAGAAGCATCTCGGAATGAATTGCACAACTTACTGGATAAACCACAGTTGACAGGGATTCCAGTGCTGGTGCTAGGCAATAAACGTGACCTTCCACATGCCTTAGATGAAAATGGGCTTATTGAAAGAATGTATGTAAGATGGTTTCAGTATGTTATTATTTTAAAACATAACCATTTAGCTTTTTCAATTTATGTAATCTGAACAAGAAATAAATTGTACAAATAGCAGTTCAGCATCTCAGACTTGGGGTTTTCTAATTTCTATACTTTATTAGGGAAACTCGCATAATTTTATGTGTTGTTGTATTAAAGTCACAGTTTGTTTTACTCTTTGCATTTGAGGAGGATAAAGATTGTTTTAAATGTGATTTGTAATAGAGTATGTAACTGGGTGTAGTTGCAGTTTATATTCCCTACAGAACGGACAAATACATTGTAAGATGAGGCACCGGCTAAGCTGTAAGTAAACACTACACTATAACATTAATACCAAAATTAGTTAATTACAATAAACTTAATACCATTATTCTCACACCATTTTCAGATTAACGTCAATAACAGTCAGTAACATGACCCCGCTGTTTATGACCCAACTATTTTCCTTTTCCACTCCAAAAGAAAATGCCTTTGTTCATCTTCCAGCTGCATGCACCAGGCAGGAAGTTACTAGTGCAAAATGGACCAAGGTCGGAAGAGGTTGAGGTCCAAGTGTTTTCTCGGAGAACAAGAAATATCTGACTTGTTCTCTGATGAGCTATCTGATGTCCGTTTTGAGTCTGCTAGTGATAGTGACTCACAATCTGATAGTGAGTGTGACAGGGACGAACAAAAAATTGTGGCCACAGACAGTGAAAGTGAAAGTGAAAGTGAAAGTGACAGTAGCTCCGATGAAAGTGCGGGTAGCAACATTGCGGGGACAGCCACATGGGGAAAAGTAGACAAAACGCCTGCCTTGGGACAGTTTACTGGAAATCCAGGGGTGAAGCAAATTCCATCAGACCCAACGCAAGTGTCTGAAGTAGCAGAACTGTTTTTTGGAGATAGTTTCTTTGACATGACATGCTATGTCAGGACTATAACAGATACTATCTCCAACACCGTGAAATTTATGACAGAAGTTATAAGGCATTGAAGTGGATGGATGTCACTTCAGCAGAAATGAGAACATTTTTTGCAATTATCTTTCTAATGGGCCATACAGGGAGGGATAATCTGAAAGAGTATTGGTTAACAGATCCATTTTCAGAAATTCCAATTTTCAGCAAACTAATGAGCCATAAGAGATTTGAGCAAATTTGGTGATGTTTGCATTTCAGTGATAATGAACTGCAACCACAGTCAACAAGCAGGCCTTTGAAAATTCAGCCTTTATTGAACTTTTTCGTTCAGAAATTTCAGACAGTTTATAAGCCGAACCAACAACTGTCTTTGGATGAATCTGTGATTCCTTGGAGGGGAAGGCTTCGTATGCGAACATATAATCCTGGGAAACTTACAAAGTATGGCCTACTTGTTCGTGTAGTTACTGAAAGCACTTCAGGCTATATTGGAAATTTAGAAATTTATTCTGGTGAAGGAAAGAAATTACAAGAAACTATTCTTTCCGTTTTGGAACCCTATCTTGATCACAATTACCATGTCTATCAAGACAATTATTATAACCGTGTGGCAACTGCAGAACACCTACTTTCAAGAAAAGTGCGTGTTTGTGGAACAATTAGGGTGAACAGAGGGCTTCCTCCAGATCTGAAAGAGGAATGTAAATGCCTGAAACGAGGTGAAACCACATTCAGGAGGAATGGGATATTCTTCAGTCCTGGAGGGATACTCGTGTTGTGAATATGATTTCCACAATTCACAATTCGAGCATGGTTGAGATTCAGAGGAGACATGGACAGGTAAAGAAGTCTGTCTGTGTTTCCGAGTATAATATGTTCATGAAGGGAGTTGATAGAGCCGATCAGTACTTGGCCTATTATTCTCTTCCTCGGAAAACAGTGAAGTGGACAAAGAAAGTTGCCTTGTGGCTTATAAATTGTGCCATTTTCAATTCATTTTTGGTTTTCAAAAATCTAAACCCTCATTCAAAATTGGAATACAAGGCATTTCTGCTGAATGTGGCAAAAGTGTGGGCTACAGACCAGACGCTGAGGACGCCGTTCGGATTGTTAACTGGTTTATTCAACAACCTACAACTAACGGCTACAATTAATTATAACAATGTTGCGGGGTTTTACACTTTATAACCCTATTCGCAATAATCAGTTCACTCTATTGTCAGTAGTCAACACGTTTTCACAGTACGGGAGCTATATAAGTCCCACTGTATCACACTCCCAATTAATTCTCAGTTACACACACGTCCGGTACTTCTTTCTGCGACGGCTGCTATATTTCAACTTGAATCGCAGGCTGCTGCCTTGAGAACTGTTGATAACACACTGATTCTCACTTGCTGCTCAGCTGGCTTTTATTCCGTTCGCTGTTGCTAGGGTCGTCTATCGCAACCACTGTTTATCCGCGTTGCATAGCGACCAGTGTGCTGGGATTCAGCTCGCTTCGGCTCCGCTCAGCACGTCACCGCCGCCGGGGGGGGAGTGGTGTCCTGCGTAGCGTGACAAGTAGTAACGAGAGCGCTACGTTACCGCCGCGTGCCGCTGGGGAGGTAGGGGTCCTCCGTTGCGCAACATGTCACAATATATTGTTACATGTTAGTGACTAGGCTCCAGGCTTGCATTGATAATTGGATCTACTGAATGCTCATGACTCGCAACTACATATGATTATAGCTCTCACTAATGTAGGCACTCAGCCATGCCATAGCTCAAGCGGTTAGTCTCTGGTTTCCCACCACGGTGTCCCGAGTTCGATCCCGGGTCTGGTCAAGTAGGATTTGTGGTGGACAAAGTTGCGTTGGGGCAGGTTTTCTCCGAGTACTTCAGTTTCCCCTGCCGATCTTCATTCCACCAGTTGCTACACAATCACCCTCACCTATCATCTGGGGCTGGTACAATAGGCCAGAAGTGGCCGCAGCACAAGGGACTTAGTTCCACCCCACTAGCATTAAAATGTACGCACTCAACAGATTGCCACAGCAGGGCCTAAATATTCTCAGTCTGTTATATCTTCAGTAGAGTTTGCCATGTTGCAGCTTCTAACAATGGAGATTCCTCTGCTTCTGATCTCATGGCTAACCATCAACTACGAGTGCTGACTCATGACTGACTAACTACTCCCATTGATCCTCATCATGTATCCTCAGCACAAACCGCACAGAAAACACCAATTCCCACAGTTCTTCTTTTGTTGCAGGTGTGTTTATTTCAGTGGAAAGGTGTTTACCATGCCATTATGTAGCAACACAGTCTCTTCCGGCTTCACTGTTCCACCTTTCAGGCATCATGTCACAATATGAAAAAATGCAACATGATGCTGTGATATATTTCTGGAATTGATGTAATTGTTTCATGCCCATATTGCTGATATGAGACTAACAGATGTTGGCCTGGGCACCAAGAATGTCACTCTCTGTATGTTTTCATGTAACACTGATGACGTTTGGTTTCAGGAATTTATGTGCAATTCAAGACCGTGAAATCTGCTGCTATTCAATATCATGTAAGGAGAAGGACAACATAGATATTACCCTTCAGTGGCTGATCGCACATTCCAAATCAGGTGTTCGTTAGTTCATCTGCAAGAAGAAGGCTTCTGTCAAGACAGCGTAACTGAGCTAAATGAGATGGCTGGTGACTGACAAGAAGTAATAATGCCTAGTCCTATGCAGAGAAGTGTCATATTTACACTGTGTGGAAATTTGCAATTGGCTCTGTTCTGAATTATGCCCCTTTTGCTTTGTAAATACTTAGGATGTGAGCTTTTTCACGTAAAACCCCCTCCATCATGAAATATAATACTGAGTTATATGTACAGATATTTGTTGTTTGGCAAAAATAGATTTTCATGCTGGAACATTTTTAAACTTGCTAGTTGGGAAAAATGTAACTTTGGGCGTGATTAAAGAGAAGTCACAGAGCATTACTTGTATCATGTTGACATAATGAATTCAATCACTGCTTATTTTTCTGTGTTTGTATGGAAATTTCAGGTTTATTCTTCTTAGTGTGGAGCTGTGAATATAAGTGAATATATAACAGTTCTTCCATTTCAACATTTTGCATGAATGGGAGAATATGTATTGTCATTATTGATCTGCATTATGCTACCCGGTATGCTTTATTCATGACATCATATTTATGCCCCATTGGGAATTTGCCCTTCCTGAAATATGCACTCTGTAAACATATTATTTTTAAGGGAATAGCATCGTACTAAGTAGCATAATGCACAGCTGAAGATGGTGATACAAAGTGTAGTGCAGTGAAGAGTGTAACAAAGTAGAGAGCGTTTAGACTTCATAAATTTGGAGATAACATTTTTGTGCATAAGCATTCACATGATTCATATTGGTCTGTTTGTGGATGTGACAGGTATCCTACTCTATACAGGTAGAGGCAGATGCTAGAGGAAGCTTGTGAAATTAACATCTCTTGAAGGGGAACAATTTAGGTTCATGATTAAAATATATGTAATATAGGTTTTGATGATATCTTGATATTCATAGACATGCAGTGGTTTTGTGCATTTGTGGGTGTTCAGAATATGTCAAATTTTTTTAGAATTCTTAATGTTCAGAAGGTATATGCATCATGTTCGAAAGATTTCTCATTCAAGCAACAATAAGTTGTGAGATTTGAGGCTCTCATGGCGATGACTATGAGGTTGACGATTACTGTCTTTTTTAATTTTTCATGAAGAATTTTCAGAAATAGTAACATTTGAATTTTCAGGTTCTGTTGTGAGTTCAGGTGTACTGTTTAGACAGTTTGTTTTTAAAATTATCCCCATCCACTATTATAAGTGCAGATGTGTCTGTAATGGTACTGTATTAATATAATCAGTGTAAGGGGTAACTTTTTATAGTAAATTGAACATAAATTTGAAAAGAAGAACCAGCTCAAATTTATGGTAGTCTAAATCATGAAGTAATTTCGTAAAGTCTTGAATATGTAATAGATGAGTTTATATTTTGAAAAACAATATTTTAATCATTGATTTTGTCAGTGTCATACTACATGGCTGTATCCTGTTATTATAGATAGAGATTCTGATCCTTATTTTTGCCACTTTTAGTGTATATGGCTTAAATTCTTAAATATTAAGATTTCTGCAAATATGAGGAAGTAGAAGTGCCAAAAGATTGAAGAAATTAAATTGATATGTATGGAAATGTGTTAGAGTATGTCTGGTGTGTTTCCTTTCAGAAATTATGGACAGTCTGTTGACATTATAGCAAACCATTAATATTACAAAATGAAACAAACTGAATATTTGTGATGTAGAATATGTTACCAGGTTTCTTTGAAATAAGAAAGCCAGCACACAGCGTTTACAATTTCATACTTACGAAATTTTCAGAAGCTGAAGTTTGTGCGAAGGCTTTATTCTGTAGCAGCTACCTTGGCCAAAAATAATCTTGTGAAACCACTAATGTTTCTTGTTTGTGTATGGAATGGTGGTAATTTATCACTCCCTGGAATGAGCATTTGCTGACTGGATTGGCAGTTGTGCAGGGAGTTAATAAGGTTAATATAAGCTACCAAACTGTCCAATGGAGGTTGCATCTTCTTTGATTAAAATTGGTTTATTTACAATGAATTTCTGTAGCTGTTGCAAGTGATATCCAATGTCCAAGCCTGTTTCACAGCAAGATAGTATTTTCTCTCAACATTGAAAGTCACCATTTTATATTTACTGGTAGTGTTCAGGATTTCAGTCTGTAAAGCCTCTGGAGTATATAGATGGTTTCTCTAAACCTCATTTCATTGAACATAGGTAAAATTACAGAAAACAAACTAAGATGCAGGAACTGTAGTGGCCATATTGGATTTAAGTCTCTTGCAATTTTGACTGTAACAAGTGCAGTCATCTGAGTTCTAATGTTGTGTAGTTTGGAAAATTGCCTCCGTCTTCAGGCTTGAGTGAGACAAATTTGAAACCAGCAGAAGCAAGGATGAACCTCATCCCAGCTTGCTGCCTGCTCCTCCTCTGTTTCTTGCTTTCTGTAATCCTTTGACCCTGAAGATGGTGGTGATATATTCCTCAGAAATGTCGGGGCCTCTCTGAACTACATAGGATTAGAACACATTTCCTTGAGTCTGCATGGAATTTTCTGCAGTGTCTTGTTGTTCTGAATTCACTATCTTAAAAAATATGGGAACAATACGCTTTCTAGCGGTTACAGCTGCACATGTACCAACTTAAAAAAGATCACTATGTAACATCACACAGACTGTATTTCCATAGGGCAGTGGTTCTCAGTTGGCGGGCGCTGAGCTTCTGGGAAGAGTGCAGCAAAGGCTTCAAGAGAAGAATGAATTTTATACTGTTTGGAAATCACTTTATTTGGATATTCATTTTAAGTTTACATCATAACAAAACCTCATATTTTTTCTGGTGGGCAATGATTTTATATTTTTTGCACAGTAAATAACATTATTTAAGAAACAGGCATACTTTCATCATAAATTTTAGTTCTTCATTCTAATTTTAGTGTGATGCAAAAGAGGAAAAATATCCCAAGTGTGCTGTGAGCAACGAAAAGTTAAGAACCATTGCCCTAGGCTATGCAGAGTTTGATGTCATGTTTCAGGCAGACGACTGTCATCAGCTGGAAATTGCACATAAAATTGTACAGTAACCACTGAAGCCGTAGCAAGTATAAATTAATGAAATTTACAATTTCATTATTAAAACCGTCACAACACAACTATATTAAGGTCAGTGCCAAGTTTGGCTGTGCTACATGTTTCGGCTATCATAAGCCATCATCAGGCAAATACATGGCCAACATATATACACCACTGAACTGCAGTACTAATAAAATTGGATGCAATAATATTAATTATATTAAAAAATTTGGCGTAAAAGTACAATAAATTAGACTATATAAAACGAAAGTTATAGTATAAAACAAGATTAAAATTCTTCAAGTGATGCTTTACATCATCGAGTCAGTCATTGGTTTTTGCGATTTTGTTGTGTTCCCATGGACAAATTGGAGTATTCTGTATTTTGTGTATATATAATAAACTGTTTTGGAAGCTCGTGATGTAGATGTAGTAATATTAATGTTAATCTGAAAATGATATGAGAGTAATGGTATTAATTGTTGTTATAATTAACAACTGATTTTGGTATTGAAGATATAGTGTATTATTTACTTACTATTTAGTTGGTGCCTCATCTTACAAAGTATTGTCCGTTCTGTACGGAATGTAAACAACGACTGTTTTGGTGATGTATGTTAAAAGTCAATGCAAGGGATGGAGGGGGGGAGGTAGAGAGATGGTGTATGCAGAAGTGATGGTTATGGAGGGGAGGGGGTATGACTGTATATAATGTTTTGTATGTATCAATGATTACATCATATATAGGGTTAGAAATTTCAGTAAAATTATCATTTAGTAGTAAATTTAGTTTGCTGATTTTGTACATGTGAATTCTTTCATATGTATCCAGGGTTCGGCCTTTCTTGCCAATATATAGAACTTCTAATGTTTTGTCTATCATAATATATTCATGTGTGGTGTCCAATATATGTTGAGCAAATTTGGAGCTTTGTCTGTTATTTTTTATGTCTCCTATGTGTTCTCTGAATCTGGCCACAAAGGTATGTCTGGTCTGTCCTACATATTTGAATGGACAGTCAGCACATTGATGTTGGTAAACCCCACTGAGGTTATACTTATCATTTCTGTCATCATTTATTTTTAACGGATGTTTTATGCTGTGTTTTGTCTTATATGAGATACCAACTTCAGTATTCTTGGAAAGTTTAGTAACAGATCTGATTTCATGGCTGAAATAGGTAAAGGTGGTCCATTTCTTTCTTTTTTTGCATAATATTTTTTGTGGATGGTTTTTGTGTTAGTTGTATGGTATTTAGTGGGTAGTTATTATTATTTAGTATAGTTCTAACAGTGTTCTCTTCTATGTTTTTGTTGTTATGCGAAATGGGATATTGATTCAATCGATTAACGAGAAAGTTTATAGCAGCTTTTTTGTGTTCAAATGGGTGACATGAATCATTGTGGATGATTAGCTCAGTAGTTGTAGGTTTTTGATAGATTCCTAGTTGTTGCTTATCGTGTATTTTCTCAATGGATGAATCTAAGAAATTTATCTTATTATTTATTTCTTTTTCCATTGTGAATTTGATATTAGGGTGGATATTGTTGAACTCATTCAAAGTATTTTCAATGTTAGTTATATGGGAATTATAGACGATTAAAATATCGTCAATGAATCTATTATTATCTACTATTTGGTATTTTGTCAAAATATCAATGATAGTTGTATGTTCGAGGTATTGTATAAATACCTCGGCAAGAATTGCTGAAGTTGGTGCTCCCATGGCAAGACCTTCATTTTGTTTAAACCAGTTACCATTATGTTGAATATAATTTTATTCTAGTGTTATATTTAGCAGGTTATTAATTTCAATTTTTGTTTCATGTGAAATTTTTTGATTCTTAGCTATAATATTTTCAACAATATTGAAGAGTTCCTTTATGGGGATATTGGTATACATATTTTCAATGTCGAAAGAATACATTAGTGTATTATTATTTATTTCAATGATTTGTAATGAGTGTGCTAGTGTTTTTCACATTAAAAACATTAGGTAGTTGTGATGTATTTGCTAATATTGTATTTAAGTTGAAGTAAGTAGAATGGAACACACTAAAGAACATCAAACAAAAATGAATTAATAATCACTCAATAATAGCAAACGCCAATAAAGGCAACATGCTAGTCATTCTAAAAAACGACGATTGTATCAATAAACTTGATAGCTTCATTAACAATAATAACTTTACTGAGTTGTCACACGACATTACCAACAAAGTACAACAAATTACAAGGAATTACATAAACAATTGTAAAAACATTATAAAACCCAAAGATATATCAAAACTTATAAACATGAATCCCTGCGCACCACACATATATGGCACTATTAAATTACATAAGCAGGGACAACCCATACGACCAGTAGTCAATTGGACAAACTGCCCTGCATATAATCTAGGTAAACACTTAAATACAATATTAGCAAATACATTACAACTACCTAATGTTTTTAATGTGAAAAACACTAGCACACTCAAAAAAATTTCACATGAAACAAAAATTGAAATTTATAACCTGCTAAATATAACACTAGAATAAAATTATATTCAACATAATGGTAACTGGTTTAAACAAAATGACGGTCTTGCCATGGGAGCACCAACTTCAGCAATTCTTGCCGAGGTATTTATACAATACCTCGAACATACAACTATCATTGATATTTTGACAAAATACCAAATAGTAGATAATAATAGATTCATTGACGATATTTTAATCGTCTATAATTCCCATATAACTAACATTGAAAATACTTTGAATGAGTTCAACAATATCCACCCTAATATCAAATTCACAATGGAAAAAGAAATAAATAATAAGATAAATTTCTTAGATTCATCCATTGAGAAAATACACGATAAGCAACAACTAGGAATCTATCAAAAACCTACAACTACTGAGCTAATCATCCACAATGATTCATGTCACCCATTTGAACACAAAAAAGCTGCTATAAACTTTCT